ATTTGTGCTGGATTATAAGATCTCAGATTTTAAACAGCGATTACGTAACTGATTTTGGTGGTCATGCTAGGGGGGTTATACCACTAATGTTGGCTAACTTTGTCGGTATTAGGAATATGTCTTTCGGGATTTGTGGTAAACCCGTTATGGGTTATGCATATGATTGACATTAGCCGATAAAAGCGGCTTAGCCAGTAATATATGTCTGTCTAAATATAATATAATGTATATATATCAAATAAATATAATTCAAGGTTTAATTATTTTGTTTTTCATACTTTAGAATTACAAATTAAATTCTTGGAAATAGTTAAGTATTCAAGCGAATAGAGTTGTGTTACCAAAGCTTATATATGTTATACGTCAAAATTTTCAATACTGAGTTTAATTAGGGTAAGGGTATGTATTTAGTAACATTATTAATTCTGTAATTAATATCATTAGCCTAGAGTTCCAATCCGGTTAGCGTTTGTCTGGATAATTATCAGATATCCGGATATCAATAGTAAACGGATATCCGAATAAATCAGATATGGATAAACGGATTGGAACTCTACATTAGCCGTTATTAGCCGGCTGATCAGACTATCGGCTAGCTAAGCGGTTAAGCGGCTAGCTAAGTGGCTAACTTAATCAGCTTGGAACACTAATAAAATCATATACGTATGAGGTGTAGAGATGTTACCAGCTCGTTCGGCTCTATTCATTAATCGGTTTTTATAATAGTTAAATATACAAGCCGGATCAAGCCGATAACATCCCTAATAAGGTGAACATTTTCATTTTTACTTAGTATATCTGACCCCTATTTCTTAGTACGTACGTACGTTTTTGAGATATAGCAACACTGGTAATTTTAAAATTTTTTTGGGGCGTCTTTTTCCGCCTTTTTTTTAGGGTTAGGATAGGGTTTGGGTTAGATTTGATATTTAAAGAATATATATGGATTTTAGCAGGGTTTATGTTTTTAAATCGGGCCCTCAAATTTCAGGCGCGACATTATATTTGTAAGAAGTTTCATAGTTTTCAAGAATAATATACTGAGTGGGTGATAAGTCTAAACAGTTAGTGGTCGTACTCTAAAATATGATTGCCGGTTAATCACTAGGTTACCATGATAATCGGATTATAAAATTGGTTACAGCTGTTTTCATAATGTTCGATTACGTAATTATGCGTATATCTTTACAAACGACATTTCAGATAAGTTTGATCAGGGACGGTGAATACTTCCTAATAAAATTCCATTTTATTTTGGTTTGATCAATAAATTTTAAGTATCCAATCAAAACTCAATTTTTGGAATAATTTCAGATTTGATTGACTATATTATAATTTCACTTTATTCCATTTTATTCTTACCGGAAGTATTCACCGTCCCTGAGTTTGATTTATATAGATTTAGTTACTGTACTTCAAACAAATTGGACATTTCAGACAAGCTAACGTTTTAAAAATGCTTACTATAGACGAACAAGCTAAAGGCTCCTTAGTAGAGTTCCTATCCATTATCCGTTTATCCATTTATCTATTGGATATCCAAATCTGAATTTATTCGGATATCCGCTTTACTAATGATATCCGGATAATTATCCGAATATTTGTCGGGTTATCTGGATACCAATAGTAAATGGATATCCAGATAAATTTAGATATGGATAAATGGATGACAGATTTATCCGGATTGGACCTTTACTCCTTAGTTTTTAGATCGACCGTTTCAACATTTTTCATCTGATTCATGCTGGGTTTACCTGGCAACCACTTCCCGACAATTATTTCTCCGACATACCCATTTTTCTGACAACCATTTCACCGACTATCATTTTTCTGACATGACCATTTCTCCAACAATCACGTCATGGTCATGTCGGGGAAGTGGTTGCCAGGAAAATAGGAAAATAATTGCCGGGAAAATAGTTGTTGGAGAAGTGGTTGTCGGGGTATATGTCGGTAAACCTTCATGCTGATTTTCTTTTTTTGATCTATTTTTATTATAATCGTTATAACTTAAAATTTTTAAAATAAAATAATATCTAAATTTTTACCTTAATTTTTGGGGCTAACGTCAATCTGCGATACATAATCTGCGCATAAATATGATTTTATTGCAAAAGCATATGCGATAGCACATTCGCATACCAGGACTAATTTCGCATAATTAGTAGAGCATAATCTGCACATAAATCTGATTTTATCACAGAAGCATATGCGATAGCATATGCGATAGCATATTCGCATATCAGGACTAATTTCACATAAGCATAATCTGTGCATAAAATGGTCAGCGTTAAAAATAGAGTAATGTCGGAACATTTTGGGATAATAGAGCATGATTGGCGAGAATTTTCGATATAGTTTACCTAGTATGTTACTGATAGGTTCGGTAACATAAAAATCTAGGTAAATTACAACCTTAAACAATCGCATAATTCGCATATTTCTACCTGATTTGCATAATTTGCAGTAAATCGAATTGTAAAGCAGGCAGGATTTGGGTCTATCGCGACAGAAAATGGAGAGCCCTAATTACTAGGAAAATGCATAACATTGTGGATCTGGGGCATTTCATATATTTCATATGATCTTATTGCAAAAACGCGTGAATCTACATGTTTTTTGTCACATTAAATTACAAATTTAAACACGCGTTCGGACAAAAAATTTTCAAATTACGTTTTTTGATATGGTCTTCATTGCACCGATAGCCCATTTAGCTGATATTATATGTTAGAGTTTCTCTTGATGTTGATGTCGACTAAATGAGATGATGGTGAAATAATTGTCAGTGAAGTGGCCTGAGCAAATGTCCCGAATTAGATTCTACTGTATAAAAAGCTATCTAGTTTTTATAATTAAATAAATTACTTCGATAGGGTATAAAACCGGTTATTAGATTTTATTAAAGGTTATAACCTTTCGGGTAAAAAGCTAACCGGGTATGACCACTACTAAATATGAGTACTGCCAAGGGAAACAGGCCGATCGGACTTTCAATATATTTTGTGTACAGTTAAGCGTCTATGAAAAATTTATTATAATGGTACAAATATATTAAAAGTCCGATCGGCCTTTTTCCCTTGGCAGCACTCATATACTATCCCCGCTAAGATTTATATGTACTTAATTCTAAATATAATTTATACATAAATATTGCAATATTACTATCTATATATTTAATTAAAATGATAATCTTAGTGATTAACAAAGGGTCCTGCTTAAAGTTTTAATTCACCCGATAAAAATTATAAATTAAATCTGATAAATTATAAAAATCTGATAAATGATTTAGTTTAAAAAAAATTTTTTTTTTATATTAATATATAATATTTTGAAAAAATTTTTTTTAAATTACAATTTTTAAAATTTTGATGTACAGTATAAGTTATATTATTAGACAATTTTAAAAATAAATTTTTAGGTTCAAAATGTTTTAATCGATTGGTTAATTCAATGATATTACTGAGCTAATGTAAAAAGTGACTATATTTGTCGTAACAGTCAAGAGGTTTTAACGCTAAGAAAATAATTTAACAATTCTTTTGAAAGTGGGTTGATATTTATACGTAATAATAATAATAATAATAAATTAAAAAGAACGAGTTACATACATACAATAAATACATTTTTCCTATCATACATAAATAATATACCTTCACAATAAATAAAGATATTTTTAAAGCGCAATTTTCATACCAACACCAATAGTATTTTCAACAGGAATATCCAAATTATCATATTGCTTTCTAGAATTAACTACCAAAACAGTATATATTCTAACCAAAGATCTTCTCCACCATGAAGAACCAGGTCTAGGATAAAATGATTGTTCGCCTAAAACATATGTAATATCATCAATATTATCAAAGTCTTTCTTTAAAGTTTTGTTAGAAGGATCAATATTTTGAATTGATTCAACTAATTTTAAAATAAAGTCTTTTCCTTGTGAAACTTCTTCTGAATAACCATATCTAGCAGTTGCATGATAACAACATTCATAATTCCCAACTTTTTTCACAATTAAACGATCATTATCACCAACTATTGGAACAGCTATAGGCCGAATTGTGATAAAAACGAGATTTTGAGGTACTATTGGGAAGTGCTTTATAAAATGAGAGAAAGAAAGAGGGACCTTAGAACCAGCACCACTATAGAATAGGCCAATACCCGAAGAACGTGTCAAATGATTTTCAGAGCCTGATAGACGTAGCTGTACTACGTCAACTTTCCCATCTTGATGTAAAACCTCTTGAGAGATTTGAGAATCTTCATTTATAGTGATACTAGAGGGAATAGGTTTTTCAGGTTTTCCTGAATTTTCAAAAATTTTACCAAGGTTGGGTTTATGTATGAGTTCATAACGTATCTTACGAACAGTACCCCATCTCCATATAATCATAATAATAGCAAGGCATATAGCCACAAGCAAAGTAAGCCAACCACCATTCTCAACTTTTCGTAAAGTTGCACCCAAAAACGAAGCATCAACAGTGCCAAAAATAAGAAAGAATATAACTGAAACAAAAATAGGAAGATGCCAAACTTGATGAATTACAATTGCTAAGAGTGCTGTGGTGATAATCATCACAGATGCAACAGCTACACCGTAAGCGTTTGTCCTAAAAAAAAAAAAAAAATAGATAAATCAATAAATAACAAAATAATAAATGATAATACATAATAAAAAAATATGAATAAAGTACAGGTTTGCAGAGTGTTGAAAGATGATACAAATGATTACGATTGCGACCATCAAAAGGTAATTAATCTAATAAAATAAATGACAAAAGAAATTTAGTAAGTACATATATATATTTAACATAAAAAGAAGGGGTCCGTATTATTTCACCGACAATCACTTCATAGACACCACATTTCACCGACAATTATTCATCGACAAGTTCATTTTACCGACAGTCTATTTCACCGAATCTCATTTCACCGACAAGTTTATTTTTATAAATTACACTAACTTTAACTCTAATTCTAACCTAACCCTAATGATATTGACTAGAATTGCTTTGTCAGCTTCGGTGAAAAACTGTCGGTAAGTAATTGTCAGTGAAATGTAGTGTCAACGAAGTGAGTTGATCGGATCCCAAAAAGAAGTAATATAAAATTATAATTTACCCCTGGTATGTAAACTTGACCTGTAACTTTTTTTGATGTATGAATAACCTTTTAACATAAAGTTAAAATTAATACAAATAAATAATAGTAATTTACATATTTTATACACTGTAATAAAAATTGGTATTACCTTGACGTCAGGAAAGCAGTCTAATTGCATAGATTGATAAATTAAAGAAAAAGTAGCAGAAATCATAGCTTGGGAAGCTATAATTGTAGCTAAAATGGCCAAAACAAATACAATCCAATAAACAACAGGATGATTAGGAGTAGTTCTCCAAAAAGTATTTGCAATTACACTGGGATCTACAACTAAACGAGCAGCTTGGCCTGAATATACCAAAACCAAAGGAAGATAAACAAAACATGGGAAAGAGATTTGAATGGCTCTGCGATTAAAATGTCCTAGATCTGCAAACAATGCTTCTACACTATTTAGAAAATAATGAGAAAAGAAAGATTTAAATATATTATTAAAAATGATTTACAGGTTGCATGTAATACAAACTTCATAAATTATATAAATTATCAACCGAAAATTTACCCAGTAATAGCTAATAGAACTCCACCAAGATCAGTAAACTTTTAAAAATAGAGAATAATAATTAGAATGATAAGCTAAATATAATAATAATAATACAGTCAGACCTCGTTATAGTCACACTCAATTTAGTCACAACCTTGTTATAGTCACACTCAATATAGTCACAACCTCAACCTGGTGATTATATCGAGGTCTGAATGTAATAATAATAATAATAGAAGAGGAATATTTTACCCCAGAACCTTGATTTCGTATGAAATAATTAATGGCATGATAGGGATTAAAAGCTTCAAAAATTCTAGGATAGTAAGTAATATTCCAAATGCCAATACAAGAGAGAGCGATAAACCAAAGAGCGACAATCGGAGCAAATAAACTTCCAACCTTAGCTGTACCAAATTGTTGTACCATAAACAATAAAACAATAATAATGCTTTTTTATATTTAAAAGGATTAAAATGAATATTTATTTATTTTTTAAAATAACAATAATAAATATGTAAGGTAATAATATATGTAAATACCAGCTAAGAGGAACAATACCCGATTCTAAACTTGGCGCAGGGATTTCCATACCCTCAACGGCAGAAATTACGGAAATAGCAGGAGTTAGCAGACCATCACTCATAACCAAGGAAGAGCCGAGAAGGACTACAATGAGTAAAGTAGACTGCACAGTTTTACTGCGCTTGATAAAGTTTGGGTGTTCCTTAGAACTAATAATTGACATAGTATCGTAATTCGCAATCGTTAGGTCATCGGAATTCTCATTTCCGCGTACAGAGAGTCCAGAATGACTAAAAAATTTATAATCATTTAACTTTAGGTAATAACTTTAAACAAGAAAGTAGCTTAGAATAAGATATGTATATATACTCTTACCGACATAATAATGAATATAAAGCAAAAGTGCCACCTTCACCATGATCATCCGCTCTGAGTACTATGAAAACATATTTGATCAATGGCACGATTGTCTAAAAAAAAAACAAAATTTGTTAATATATTAATTTTCAAGAAAAACATTAATTTTTAAATATATGTATTGAAAAAAATTTTACCAATGACCAGATGATCAAAGATAATGCACCTACAATATATAATTTAAAGTGAATATATAATTTTGAAATGAATTCTTTAAATTTTAAACCAAAAATTAAAAACTAGACTAGGGTAAGTACCATAAACGTCTTGAGGGTCCGTAGGTGGATCCGAAAATATTCCAGTGAATACTATAATTTTATAAGTTAAATTAAGTTTCTAGATAATTGCTAAAAGAGAAAAAAGAACCACGTACGTACCATATAAGGGAGAAGTGCCAATATCACCATATATAATGCCTAAATTTTAAGGAAAAGGAAATGGTTATGTATCAAACTATCAAACGTACAATTGAAAATAGGTTATCTATTATGAAAACCTAATGAAAAATATATAATTACCTATCGATTTGAAAGCTAAACTTAAAGTAAGTAAGGCCGAGGTTTCCTAAAATTTTGATAAATAATGCATTAAACGAATTTTCTCGTTAATTGTAAAGGCATTAGATTAAAGACTTACTTTTTTACTGCGGTGATCTTTCTCAATATCATGATTAAGTTCATTATTTTCATCAATAATTTCAGACATTTTTGTTTTTTTTTTTTCACTAAAAATTTTTTTTTACGCATTCAGCGATTGTACTTAATCTTATATTACGTTTTATTAATTAGGTCATATTTAATTTTTCGTTTGTTTTAAATTTTTTTCTTGGCAAATAAAATCTCTGTGTTACAAACAGATGATAAAGTTTAAGGAATTCTGGAATTCAGCCCTTTTATTCATGAAGATATAACTGTATTTGTTCATTTGGCTAATCCTGCAATTAGCTGCTAGATTACCATACCACTGATCTCTCAATTTGGTCGATAGACCGTTTCAGGATTTGTAAAAATTTAATTTGTATCTTCGAACTTTATTTATAATGAAAATAATTACTATTATGGTTAACACAGACACTTGCCATCTCAGAAAACGATGGGGAAGATTTACAGTGTTGTTTTAAACAGTTTGCCACGGGCTCCTTTAATAACATTTATAATAAATACGACAAATTACATACATAACAGTTTTATTTTTGAAATGTTCCAGGGACCGTTTAAATAAGTATAACCTGCCAAAACCGATCCTGGCAAAACCGATAACCTGACAAAACTCAAAAAATCATTCCACTATGCCTGTTTCTAATATAGTTATTTGACCTTAAACTCGATAACCTGATATAAAATTTGTCTACCGTGCATACCGGTTTTGACAGGGAAATAATTGTCTGTGACACGAACGAACATTCCCTATCTTTTATTGCCAATCAATTTGGGTTCATAGATTTTATAATCCAGTATACTATTTCTGTTTTTGAATAAGTTATGTTCTGTACATATCTGCATATGTACAGTACGTATACCGATACATGCTTTACCTAAATTAGGTTTAGTTATCATATTATGTATTAACGATCTTTTCCAAAATATTGATCTAGAATCCCAAAATCCCAAATCACAAATCACATGATAGAATAATTTTTAGAATTTTAGAAGCTATCTAATTTTACATTGAATCGACAATTCAGACGATATTATTTGTTCGAATGTGTTAACACATCACTTTATATTGAATGAAAGTCTATTAACATATCTTGTTATCAAATTAGTGTGATGAAAATCCCATATATTTCATGGTAATTGGTCCACTATCATAGCATTATATGATTGAATTTATAATAAAAAAAAAAATCGTACGTTTTTAAAATGTTATATATATATCTTTCTCTAATAGAGCTATAACTTGCAAATAATAGAAAAATAATTAATATTGTAAATTGATCGTATCATTAGTGATAGTAAATCAGTTAGTCCACATTTTGTTTATCAGGATTCTGTTTCTAACACCCCAGTAATCGGTAATATGCGGGATTTTACAAAGTTTAATGAACACGCAAATGCTATAATTAGATTTTTAAAATTTTTAATTGAACATGGAGGTTTAAAATATATTATTAAACCGAAATAGATGTTATCATTATATTGTACTTAATTAGATATTTTAGATTCCTCATAACTCGGCCGGTTCAATTTGTAAATAAATGCTTTCGGGTGAATTTTTGAATTTATTATTTATTTTCTTATATTTAATATAAAGCTGGATTTGGTGGATCATTTTAAAATTCGTATGTTATGGGGAAAGTTATTATTTGTAGAATGGGGAAAGCTGTTTTCTGAACTGAATATGTAAAAAAAATAAAATGCCTATTAGGTAAAATTTGTTCTTTTATAATATCTATTGGAATAAGAATATATTTCATAGCAGTCGCTCATAGTAATCTTTTATTGACCTATAAATTGGTATTAGAATGCTCAAAGTGATTATCTTTTTACCAAAGTTTATAATAGAATGTATATCGAATCAACAGTTCTGGTTAAAGATGCTGGAGAATTAAAACTAGGGAGTGATGAAATAATTTTACCATTTTTGGTGAAATTTCAAAAAAAATAGTGTGATTATAACAAGGTTGTGACTATATTGAGTGTGACTATAACGAGGTCTGACTGTACAATTTACGAAATAATTGTTGAACTTAAGTTGTTACGTGAGAACACTTTATCCCAATACTGCAATACAGCCGTTTAAAATGACATATACTGTATACGCAATTGCACATGCATCGACAAATAGTAGTAATTTGCAAAATAACTGGATGGCATGTGTCGTGCGCATTGCATGATAATCCTGCCGTTTTTGTTATTCAAAATTTTCTAAATTTGTTGTTATTAAATGCAATGTATAAACAAATCTGCGCGTTAAAGAGGGCGCGCATTTGTAATTGTAATACGATATACACATATTGTCTTTCTATTATTTTGTGTTCTTTATTCGCTGCCCTTCAGAACTTGCGTAAAATTCTATAACTTATCTTTGGCTGACTAATAATTGCTGTTTGCAAAAAGATCGAGTAAAATCTCGGAGTTTCTAGATTGTCTAGTAATATATATTCGATCAGTTATATTTTATAACGTATTTAAGATTCTATTAGAATCGAAAATCGCCTGATTTTCCTTAATTTTTTTTTACATGACATAATGATCTGCAATGTTTTCGTAAATGTTTATATGTTTATTACACATTACTACTATACTAATTTCTAAGTTCTAATTCTAGATTCTTTTTTCATATGGTTTCTAAAAATCAGAATCCTTACTTGATCGCATTTGATTGATATATCGATTTCTTATTTAGTCGTGACGCATATCTGATTCAGGGTGAACTTAAGCATGCTTTATTTAGCGTTAGCAAGAAAAATCATAACAGGATGTTCTATAGAATAGGTGGGCAAACTCCGCTAAATATTACGTGAATATATTAAAAATTAATGATTACTAATCATCGGCGAAGCTTATTACTTATATTGCCTCATAAATATATCGGCGGATTTGCGGAATTGGCCTAGGTTTACTGACATTTACTCGACCGGGCTTCCTCGACATAACCATTTCCACGACATGGCCATTTCCCAACATGACGCGATTGTTGGGGAAATGGTTATGTCGGGAAATGGTTGTCGGGTAAATGGTTCTTTCGGGTAATAATTGTCACTAAACCCTTGACCTAAATTAGGGTCTATAAATCGACATGTCAAACCAGTACCGTATTGTATTGAAATAGGGGACCTTGATGATAATACCGTATGGTATCATCTCTAAGATTTCTATAACGATACTGGTTTAACGTAAATTATGGATGCCGCCCAATGCTTTTGCAAAGCCGACCCAAAATTTCAGCTATTGTGCATTCTGTAACAGTGTTTGCACAATCGAATTAATCAATGATATTATATGATTAATTGAACAATTGGACGAATAATTGGACTAACAAATGAACTAACAAATGATATTCATTAGCCTGATTGTCCAAATGAAACGCCGTTCTGTAATTGTTAAATCAATTCCGCAAATCCGACAATATGTTCTCTCTTCTAATGCAAATATGTATATAGTAATCGTTTAATGTACAGTATATGTATACCAATTAATAGTAATGTCAGACAAATTCCTCCTTTATGCATTACATAAGCATGAAAGGGGTGCTGTCAAACAGGGTTTGGGTTAAAATCCCGACAGGTCATGATCCCGACAAAAAATTCCCGACAATCAAAATCCCGACAAATCCCGACAATCAAAAAAATTTTCCTTGAGCAATTTTACTATATAATCAACCCTAACCCTAACCTAACTTAAATGAACTTAATATTTTTGTTGTCGGTATTTGTCGGGATTTTATGACCTGTCGGGATTTTGACCGGCACCCGTCAAACAAAACGTGCTGTTGTGTGAATACTTATCACTTTGTATTAAGTTTAATTCAGCAATTACAACTCTGGGTAGGGCTTTAAAATTTCAAGCCTGTATATATGCTTAATTGACATTTGGATGTATTTGAAAATCAATTTTTGAGAGTGTTGATATAGTCAGAGTTATTAATAAATAATTATTTGTATATTGGATACGTATGACTTTATTACGTAGTATAAATGAAATGCTTTAATTGAAATAATGAGATGTTTAGTTGAAGTATAAAGTCACCATAAAATCAAATATAATCAATGGTGAATTGTTAATTAGGCAAAAGGGTTATTATGGCGTAAACTGCTAGTAACGCATAATCTAATAACCGAATGACATAAAATCATTCGATTCAAGTCGCTAGATTAGTGCTTGGACCCAGATATCAATCAGATATTCGGATAGATATCCTGTTTTAATTCTCTTAATCCGGATTTTAAACGGATATTATTAAGTTGTCCGGCAGGTACTATGTAAACACTGACGAAAAAAATTTCAACATTATTCTTTGTAAGTATATAAAGTATTATTGGATTTTCTTGTAAATAGAGGTGCGATTCATAAACTATTAGTTAATATAAATAAACTGTAGTCTATTGTAAAACTGTAGTTTTAAAATAAACTACAGTTAAAACTCTTTCCACTTGACCCCTGAAAATCAAAATAGTAGTAAAAAGTAAACAATTATTTTCGAATTGTTTTAGGTAATATATCTGTAAATCAAATAGAGTCCTCCGGGACAAATTAGTTCCACCTGATAGATAAGAAAGTAACCACAATAGGCAAAGTATAAAAGAGTCACAATAACCAAAAAACCCTTACTCCATCTGCACAAGCTCCTTTGGAGCCCATATTTACAATCTTTTTTTAAGAAAATATTTGGTATCACAGCAACCAACAAAGACCTGGTGAGCCCAGTAAACCTGCCAAAACCCTTTTCACAACCTATCTCACAAACTACACCACTCATTGCAAAAAGAAACAATAACAATAAAGGTCATCAACCCCATATCTGCAACACTCTATACACTAATTCCAGCAGGGACTCTATAAAATTTCAAGAAAATTAAAAAATAATAAATTACAATTTTTATTGAATATCACAATATAAAACAATTTTATTCTGTTTTTATGTATATGAAATTATACAAAATTTAATTGGCCAACTATTTTTAAGAGCCAATCATATTTGTGTATTTTATGTAAATTATATGCATAAAAAGATATATTTGCAGTGCCATATTGATAATGCAC